TATATATATATATATATATATATATATATGAATTTTATTTATTTTTTAGGCTCAAAATTATTAGAATTGTGAAAATTTTAGGATTAAATTGTCATTTTTATTATAATAATTTTATTACTTTTAATAATATTATTATTTATTATTTCATCCGGTTCGACCGTCAAACCATGAACCTGTCATTCTTCCGATTCCTTACCTGTCTGATTTTCACACCCTTCATAAATTCTTCAAATATTTATTACATGAATTCATTAATATATTACTTGTAAGCTCCTAAATCATATCACTGTTACGTTTATGTAAATTATTAATTGATAATTTTAAAATATATTTTCTAATATTTTTAATGTTAAATAAACTATTTTTAAAAGATTTTTTTATATTATCTGAATTAACCTTCGTAAAAAAAATTTAAAGGATGATCTATTTGGACTCCAAAAATTCCAAAAAAAGAATATATAGATGTATATTCTTATAAATAAAAAATATTTTGGCATGTTATTGAAAATTATTTTATTGATAAAATTTTAATATTTTGTGCGAAATTACTGAAAAAATAGCCAGATTTATTCTCTGTGGTGGTGACTGTGCCATGGTAAAACCCCCGTCCGGCGTTCACGCGCCATGGACATCTCCCTCACATGATCCAAGACTGACTGTAAGTGGAAGAAAGCCCGCGCTCAAGAATGGCGACGACGATTCCTCTTTGCTAATTTCTTGGCTTTCTAGCAACGAGAAGATGCCAGGCAGAAAAGCGGTTGACCTGCTAGCCACACGAATCCGTCTTCTTTCTCAGTGCGATCGACGCCGGGTACTGAGAGAGATGCTGGATTAGTGTTTTTGCCTCCGTTCTTGGCAGCGGAAACGACATCGAAATAATGCAGAGTTTAGTGGAAGATAAGCGGCTCGACCTCGACGTTCCGCTCCTCTCCGTCCGCCGCCACTCAGTCCCTCCGCCGGTGAAATCTTCAACAAAACCGCAGGAGCCGGCGATGAAGCCGCCGACATCTTCGTGGACATCCGCCGCTCCATTTTACAAGTCGGACCTCAAGTCCGGCCCTGTGCGAAACCCCGGAGTCGTCCCTTTTGTCTGGGAGCAGAAGCCAGGCCAACCCAAAACCGGCGGCGCCCCTCGCAATCGTCTGCCGCCGGTCCCTCTTCTTCCTCCAGGATGGATCCCGAGTGATGCGGAACCCGATGGGCCTTTCAGTATCCCCAATTACATCGGCGATGATAAGCCAATGGAAGATACAGCGGTAATGGCTTTCGAGGAGTTGCTGAAGGTGAAGGAAGAGGAAGATAATTTTTCCGATGCAGTCGAGACGCTATCCCGCACCGAATCCTTCTTCATGAACTGCAGCCTAAGCGGCATCAGCGGCATTCCTGATGCCGCTGTTTCTTCTGGAAGCTTCTCCACGGATCCGCAGGTTAGGGATTTGATGATGCACCGTTTCCTCCCTGCCGCCCAGGCGATGGCCACCGGCTCGCCACAGTGTCCTATGAGGAAGCCGGCGAAGCTAGTTGAGAGGGTCGAGGATGGTGAAAATCGGCTTCGTCGGGTACCCCTGCCTTATCAGCACAGGCCCAACTTTGTTGGTCGATATCCTCACGATGAGTTCGACAGTTCTGACGGTGATGACAATGGTGATTATTATGAGGGTTCAGGACATTTTACCTCGAAGGCATGCGGGCTTCTGCCTCGGCTCTGCATGAAGAGCTCCTTTTGTCTCTTAAATCCGATGCCTGGTATGAAAGTTGGAGGCCGGCGGCGTGGCCTTCCACCTTCAACAAGTCGAAAGATTAGTAGCGCCTTGCACAATAATGGGCCGCTTTCTCAGGCTGAGAATGAAGTAAATTCTTTTTAAATTTCTGATTTCAATGCTCTAGTCTCTTGTTACATTCTTTATCTCATATTTTGCAGCTGTGGGAAGCGGTGTATAAACACAAGTTGAGAATGGGGATTCCTTATCAAGGGGAGGGTGGGAGCAAGAGCACGAGTAAGTCTAATCAGCTTGGGCAGTGGAGCGATTCACAAACACCGGATGGATCTTCTTCTTGCTGCCATTCTGGAGGTAGCCAGGAGGCGTTCGTTGAAATTCTTAAGAAGGATACGAAGAATGGTAAGGGCGATGGGTCTGAGTCCTTTGATAAAGACGGTGAAAAATATTGGACAATGAATTCAAGCCATGGAAGCCAGCAGGACTCGGGTATTTTGAGTCCTACAATGGTGAACTCCGTCCATCTGGATTCGGGAGTTCTGCCAGGAATTCATCATTCTAAGTACAGTACTGCTGATAGTGAGATGGCTTTTAGGACGCCAAAGGAAATAAATAAGTCTACTAACGGGGATAATCGGAGAATGGAAGAGAATCTTGGGCTAGAAAGACATAATGGATCTGTTCTGCAGCTTCAATCATCTGGTGTTCACGAGTCTGATTTGATTCTTTGTTCTGGAAGTAATGCTTCTGTTGAGCTTCTTGATTGCAGTGACGGTTCACTACTTTTAAAAGTGGAAGAAGAGTCAAAGATCAATTCAAATTTTCACTCCCTTCTCCCCCCTCCCTTGCCGAAAACACCATCGGAATCCTGGCTATCGCGCACCTTGCCTTCTGTATCAGCAAAGATTCCATCTGGGAAGTCAAGTTTCGACATCCATATGCTGCAGAGGAAGCGAGGCTTCCATTCATCTTCTACACCTAGGCTGCAAAGTAACGCCAAGCCTTTAGAATCACAGCATCCGCAGGTACCATTTGTTGTTGCAAAGCAGGAAATCCCTTGCAAGCCTTCCATAGTGCACCAAAGCCAGATAACACCAACCGAACACCGTGAAGATAGCAGCATTAAATGTTCGGAACCACAAAATGACCAAATACTTAACATGAAGCCTTCCAAACCACCACGCCGCCAAATTCGCTTTGCAGATGTAAACATTTTAAGATATAATTTTTCAATCTGTGTAGTTTCTTTCTCAGATTTTAATAAACGTGCTTTTTTTTACTGAAACTGCTTGCAGGTGCTAATGACACCTTTATCCCCCCGGTCTGAGGTGTGAAAATATGTAGATATTCTATCCTCTATAACTTCATTGATATTCTCCTGTTTCAAGATGTTCTCGCCAGATATTGGAAGGTATTGTAGCTCGTTCTTTTAAGCCAACCCGAATAGATGGGATAAGGCTAATGGTAATGATTATGATTGTTGCTCATTTCTTTTTTGTTGTTTTATATATATTCATCTTTTGATGCTTTGAGCAATGCTAGGCATCTCGATGTCTTTTGGTGGTTGTTTGTTACCGTTTGTTTGTGCAAAGATGTAATTTCTTTCCTCAATCTAAATGTAATAACATTGATGTCAACTGTGAATTCAATGTGTAAATAACTTGTCATTAAAAAGCAAGTTCTCCTACAAGAGTTTTAAAGTTAAATGTTTGTTCTATGCTTATAGCAAAAGGATGGTGCTGCAATTCTTGTGTAATATCATGAAATTTAAAGAGTACACTTTATATTTTATTCATTTGGTCTATCTTTAATGATAATATTTACACTTTACTTCCTGATAATCTTGGAACAGAATGAAAGGATGGTGCTAAATTTTCTTCAATTGTATGTTTGTTTATGCATTCCCCTAAATCATTAGGAGTCCAAAGTTTGCACTATTTGGATTGGATCCTAAATGCTAGATTTTCATTTTTAGAAGTAAAAAAATTAAAGCTAAGTGGTATGTTGCATGCACTTAGAAACAGAATGCGAAACGAGTATATACGTGAAAAGGTTGGAGTAGCTCTAGTGGCAGATAAGAGTAGAGAGTGTCGCCTTAAATGATCTAGTCATATAAAATGTTAGCCTTTTCGATGTTACTGCTAGGAGAGTAGATGTATTAGATCCGGCTTATGTTCAGAAAGTAAGAGATGGACCTAAAAAAATTTGGTTAGAAAGTATTAAAAATGACATTGTTTTTAGATTTAAATGAGAATTTGATTCTCAATAGGACACAATGGAGCCAAAGAATTGCATGCAAAAATTTGAGGAAAGATATATGATACCAATCTACATAGTATCACACACATAGCCAATCATTTAAAGAGTGAACAAAGATATAATTGTTTGTGTGGAAAATAATAAAAGGGAAAAAAAACCAAAAGGCCTATGTCGAATTGTTTCCACCAATATCAAAAGATGTTACAAGATACAACCCTTTTATGTACTTGGAGAAATTATCAATAAAAATTAAAGCAAGTTGTTATTAGTGCCTCAGGCAATGATGATGCAAGATGATCGACAAGGTACCCAAGGCTAATTGCGAGACACTTTTCCCTAGAGATGAAAGCGGCTCAATGTTGATACAACAAAAGACATGGCACAATTTTGGTGTGCAAAGAGCAGCCCGCAAATTGAAAAGACATATGTTGAGAGCTTAGCAGATTATGAAAAGGTATGCTGATGAGCACAAGAAGGACATTCAATTTGAGATAGGGGATATGATGTATTTAAAGCTTCGTCTCTACAGGCAAAGGATAGTGGCTAGTAGGAGGAATGAGAAGCTGGCATTGTGGTACTTTGACCCTTTTGAGATAGTGTAGAGCATTGGAGCAGTGGCATATCGACTAAAGATTCCTCTAACTGCAACCATACATTCGGTATTCCACTTGTCACATTTGAGGAGAGCTATAGGGGATCACAACTCAACTGCAGAGTTACCAGCAATGCTGATAGAGGATTTAGATGTGATTTTAGAACCACTAGAATTGGTAGGAGTATGATAGGAGGAGGGAGGTAGTAAGGAAGTGCTGATTAAGTGGAAAAACCTACCAGAGTACGAGGCTACTTGGGAGTCATATGAGTAGATGAAGCATCAATTTCCGTCCTTTCGCCTTGAGGACAAGGTGGTTCTTTGAGAGGGGGATATTGTTACACCGGTCCAAGCCAGCTGGCCCAGCACTAGGGCTAGCTCCTGGTTTATTCCAGGCGGACTAGGGAAACTACGGACCCCTTGTGGGCCCCATGGATTGAAAATTCAAATAGGAGGGGGTAGTTTATGAGGGAATTTATTATGGGAAGGGTTGTTTAGTAATTATGCTTTTATTTGTATTCTCTAAATAGAAGGGAAAGGGTTAGGGTTAGGATTATGTATGTTTTTGCTGAATTTAGGAGTCATCTAGGTTTGCTTGGGCTCTAGCTGTTTGCTAGAGATTGGGAGAGCCGGATCTTCCTCTCAAAGTGAAGATTCATTGTATCTTGTTTGTTTTCTCCCACTTTTCATCTATTATTAAGTTTCCCTATTGAGTTGCCTAGGAATTCCTTCGAATTTCTGCTTGTTCTTGCTGAAATTCCCAATTTCAGCCAGTATTTTGATGATTTCTGCAGTTGTTCCCTAACAGGTGGCTTCAACATGCTTGCAATCAAATGGAATTTGGCTATATCAGAGTCCAAATATTACATTCCTTAAACAGTACCACCAGGTGATATTCCTCCATATACGTAAGCATCACATTAGGGCTACAAATTTTTGTGTAAATTTTACTTTAAATAACAATGTTTAATGAAAAGGTTTTTCTGATAGAAATCTTCCTTACTCTTTTTTTTTTTAGGCTTTTTTGGGACAGTTTTTTTTACTGCTTTCTAAAGCAGTTTTTTAATACACAATTTTATAATTAAAAAATTATTGTACTTGTAAGCTATTTTATAAAGCAGCAAAAAACCTGTCTCAAACAAAGCCTTAATTTTGCTGAGGCAGGATTATGATAGAATATCCCATACCTAGTTGTAATTTTTGTTATTTTTTTATTACTAATGCAATACGTATGACAAATTTCGGTCAACTCTACTTTATTTCTCCTTTAAGAAAAGCCCTTATGACTCATCTTTATTTTTCTTGAAGAACATCCAATCTTATTGATGACATTATTACAATTGGGATAGACTTGACGCTTATCGTTCATTTGTAGCAACATCTTCAAGCTACATTTCATATGAAGATTCTTAGTACTCTTTCTACTGTGGTTTGAAAGTGCATGCTACTCACTCTGGTATCTTTTTAAATCAACACAAGTATAGATAGAATCTGATTAAAATTTCAAGGCTTAAAAATTCTCCTAAGAATACCGAAGTAAATATGTAGTATTACTAAGGAGGGTGGTCTTCTAGATTTCACTATCTTTCGGCATTGATTAGTAGCTTGAACTATTTAACAATTACTTGACTTCATATTTTCTTAGTTGTTTAGCTTGTTAGTCGATTTATGCAAACTCCTTATCATTTATATTTAGTTCTTGTTTGTCGTAACATTCAATACCGTACTGGGGTACTTGGTCTTGAATTGTCCTTTACAATTGGTTCTTCACATCGTCTTATGGTTTATAGTGATGCTGATTGGGTTGGATGCTCTGATAACTGATGCTCTTTAATAAGTTGCTGCATTTTTCATGGTGTCTTTAATATCATGAAAAAGTAAGAAGCGACCATATGTGTCTAAATACTCTACTAAGTCTGAATATCAGGCAATGCATTTTGCTTATTCTCGGATTATTATCCATGGACATCTATCTAAACTTGATTTTTTTTAATATAATCCTGCCCCTTGCCATGCATGCTATACCAATGCTATTCAAATTGATGTTAATCATATTTATCACGAGTTTACAAAACATATTGAAGTGGACTATCCCGGGATTTGAGAAGCATTCAACACTTATATTATTTCTCATTCTCATATTTCTACCAACCTTCAGATTGCAGACAATTTTACAAAGGCCATGACATGCTAATGCCACTAGTTTCTTATAGGTAAATTGATGCTTCTTGATCAACCAACATTACTTGTAGGGGGATATTGGATGAATTTATTACACCACACTTTTTGCTAAATTTAGTCATAATTACTTGAGGATCCCTATATTATGGCTATATAATTACTATTGTAGATTCTATGTAATTATATAATATTGTTATAAACCTTTATACTTAGAAATGTAATTGTAGTTTTATTATTTTGCTTGATTTTATTGATGTAATGGAAATAATTTAGTTTTGTATTATGTCGAGTATTTGACTTTATACTGAAACTCTCGAATGAGAGTAATCAATCTGATTTACAAAACAAATATGGAGGCACTCTTGGGATTCCTTATGATTCCCCATTTATTAATAATAAAATAAAAAAAAATTGTAAAATTAATTGAACAATATAAAAAAAAAAGAATGGTGGGAGGTATGGAATATTAGAAGCATTAACATAATAAAAGAGTAAAGAATAAGAAATAAATATTCTGTATATTGTATTTCATACACTAGTATTACATTGGAGGTTCTTTTATAGGTGCTGACAGAGTTTGTTAGGATGGTGCAGAGGTGATTTAAAGCCAATGCTTGTAATTGAGTGATTACTTTTGAAACAATGGCTGAGATTACAGGGATGAGAGTAGTGGAGTGATGGTTACCTTTATGTCATTATTTCTTTTCCTCAGGTTGGAAGTTCCTATAGGAAGCGTTAACTTGGCTCATAGGGTGTTAAAGCGGACAGTAGGAAGGGTTTTGATTGTCAGGCATTTGATCCTTTGATGTCACATGGTGAACATTGAGGGCTTGAATTTTGATATAGTCACGAATAAAATGATAATATATTTCGATATATTTGTATGAGTGTGAAATATTGGATTGTTGGTAAGAGCTGGTCCTGAGATATTATTTCAATACAGTGGCTTTTGTGAAGAGACGTTTATATTAATTTTTTGAAGGAGGCTGCAGAGCTAGACAATGTATGTGGAAATTGTGACTAGTACTCGATATTTATCTTTAGTTGAGTATGCTATTGTTGGTTTTTTTTTTTTTTTTTGAGACACCATGAGATGTCAGCAGAACGAAGACCACTCGTGTGGACTTTTTGTTCAAGAGGTCTCTTGCCCAATCCGAGTTGAGTGCTAGATTGTCTTTGTACGCATAAAGTCTATAGTTTGATGGTTCCTTAAATGTGACAGAGTAGCCTTTTGAGGATGTGAAAGTAATGGGTTGAGCAGGCGGTGCATATGTTAGCATGTGCTATTTACATCAAATGAGAGATTTGCTTGAGTGATTGTTAGATATTATAGAGAGCCAACAATTTACCTATATAATTAAACATTTGAATAGGGAGCTGTTGGGTTTTCTCATTTTTATTTCGAGTCTCCCACAAGGACCATCTACTCTTGCTTATAAGGAGCTCGTATATTTGCTTAACACTGTATTATTGTTGATCGTAGGAGTGTTATAACATTCATTGCATGTTGAATCATTTTGCTCGTAGAGGACATATGTATTTGCTTGCATGAATGACTCACAGGTGAGTTAGACCCACTACGACCCTCTCATTCATATTTGTTAGTGACTCGTTGAATTCATGGCATATGAATTCCAATAACTCATAAGAGGTCGATGTGTCTATAAGCAGATTGCTATTGACCATCGGGTTGATTGCATTCATCGTTGATTTCTTCACATACATTAGCCGCCCACTTGCCACAT